TTTATTTTATTTTATTTTATTTTATTTTATTTTATTTTATTTATTTAAAAGATTTGTATGGCCACCCATCTTAAACACAACTCTGGGCGGCTCACAACAATAAAATCAATAACTATAAAATCATAAACCATAAAATCAAAGAACAAAAATCCAGCACCTCAATCATCCCTTTGGGTTGCCCCACAACCAGCTCCAGATATCCTCAATCTATCCCAGGGCCTGGCTAAAAAGCCAGGTCTTAATGGCTTTATATATGTTGAAGCGCTGTATCAGACCATATCAGCTATATAGCTTTTCAAGGGAATCACCCTAAAGTAGCTGTATCAGGAACCTTTAATTGGATACCTAGAAGATGAACTCTGGACAAAAACACTACCAGCAAAATCTGTACATTTGAACTTCTGGGGCAATAGCTCCAAAAGCCTTCCTACGAACAGTGAAGGTTGTGTTGGGCTTGGTTGTATTTCTTACAAATTCTGTCATATTAACATAAATAGGTGAAATATATTATTTTCAGGACTGTTTAAGGAATGTGAGGGCCCAACACAAGGACAGATATGGAAACCCCCTTCCCTAACAGTTCTAGAATAACATTTCAAGTGGATTCTGCAAAATGAGGTGTAGGAGGAAGAGACAATATACTTTAGAGGAAGTCGCCCTTTGTACTGATGATGTACAGGAACAGAACAGACCCACTCACCATGCGGTAAAGTCCTGCCTAGGAGAATAACCTTATTGGCCTGATCTACTGACTTTCTAACAAGGACAAAGTCTATACCACCAAGTAATGCTGCTGACCTGAAAAAAAAAATACGGATTTGGAGTAGTGGACAAAACAGAATGACTGATAACCTCTAATATGGATACATTTTCCAAACTTACAATCAAGCTGAGGGAATGTATACAGTAAATTGCCAGTGTGGGGATAGTTACATTGGGCGAACTGGAGAATGTCAGCATCCTTGCACAATGTAACAATATTTCTGCAGAATTATCAGACAGTCATTAGAAATATATAAACATCCAAATAATTTAAATAAGGGAAATAATGATGCCTATCATTTACATGGTAGTTATGATTGCTTGAGGGCATTTTACTCCATTGAATGCAAGCAGTATATAAGGATGCAATGTTTTAGTTCTCCTATGAAAAAAAGTTACATGACTAGTAAAAATTAGTACTTATTCACTATCACTTCACTAATAAATAGCAGCCATGAAAACTTACACTCTATGAATAACATTCATTATTTATTAAAGATCTCAAAAGCAAAGCGGAGCGCAATGATTTTGCTGAAAGGAACAAATGCAGGATTACGGTCAGAGAAAGCAAATGGAAATGGGGCATTATGAAAATTTGTTGGCTTTGAAAATAATCTGATGGTGAAAATGCAGTATAGAAAAAGCTTCTGGGCCTGGATCAAGAAATAAGCAGCACAAGAAGTTTGGCAAACTTTAGGTAAAAACTTAGAGCTGGCATTGTAGCAATAGACTTGAATTTGTTTAGCATAATCTAGCAGGTGGGAGCGTATAGTGGATCTTGGTTGATCTTGAAAAAGTAAGCATGGTCAGGCCTGGTGAGAAAACCACTAGGAAAATCCCAGAACTGTATCTAAACCAGAAGTTGGAAACTCATCCCAGAAGGTAATAGCAAAATATTTCCATACTGTGAAATGTATGAATGTGACTCTGTTGAGAAAATTGAGAATTTACAGGGCTAGCCATGCAATACTGTAGAGGTGACACAGTCTGCTTCAGGCAACATCAGAAGGGGGGAGGAAGATGAAAGCTGCCTGAAAGATGCAATAAATCAATATTGGAAGTGGCATAGCCCTATTATGTAATTGCTGGGTCTCAGATGTGGAATTAAAGGCATTTGGTAATAAAGTGGTATCAAACACTAGGCATCGAGTGAGCCTCCTTATGCAGGCATCATGAACAGAGATGCCACCACTAAAAAAGGCCTTTCCATGGCACTAGCTGTTGTGAAGGTCTTACTGTGTGAGTAGGCATAAGTGGGGATTATGCATTTAGCACCACAGGACAGCAGTGGGCAAACCGCTGACTCTTGGTTTTGTGTGAGGACATTTTTGTTGCAGCAGGACCTGAACAGGTTGGGACAGGACATAAATTCTCTTTTCTTGTTCTCAGCATTTCAAAGCAAAAAGGAAAATATTCATGGCTGATCTGCAGATTGCTTCTGAGGGTTTAGGGAGAGAAAATGGACATACTGTAGTGTCAAAGCACTCCTAGTTAAGTGCCAAAAGAACTTCAGATCCTATGGAATAGAGCAGGATTCCTCAACCTTGGCAACTTTAAGGTGGGTGGACTTCAACTTCCAGAATTCCCCAGCCAACAATGCTGGCTGGGGAATTCTAGGAGTTGAAGTCCACCCGTCTTAAAGTTGCCAAGGTTGAGGAATCCTGCATGCTGGCTGGGGAATTCTAGGAGTTGAAGTCCACCCGTCTTAAAGTTGCCAAGGTTGAGGAACCCTGGAATAGAGGGGTCCCCTCTTCCATCTATGCGACATTCCATTCTCACCATGGTGGTGGTGGGGAGTGGGATCTGAAATTAAAATTGTGTCTCCAACCTCTGAAAAGGTTTCCAGTCTATTCAATGGCTTCTTGAGGCCTGAGTGGGTTCCTGTTGTGTACTTCTGATGGATTCTGCACAAAATCCATCATTATATTATTAGTTATCGGGACAAAAGGAATACTGGAGTAATACATTTTTAATCCCTTGTTTTCTTTCACAACATGAACTTTCTTATAATTTGCCATTATTTTATGTTTTAATAGAGAAAGAAGAATTGTTTCAGAATTTGCTGGAGCAGGTGGTTGAGCAACTTTCAAGGTAACCCTTTTTCTATACAATAATTTTAAAACAATGGCCTTCCACAGAGCCTTGGGGACTGCTCCTGCCCTGGACCTGGGATTGAGTTGCAGTTTGCAATTTGCATCCCTGGAGCTCCGTGAGATTTGGAGGTGGAGCCATTTCCCCAGTCCCAGGAATTTTACCTCATCTTGCTTGCTCCCACCTGAACTTGGCTCTCCTGTAGCCAATATCATAGGCAACCTTAGCAGAAAACCTGATCTTAATTCTTCTAGTCAGCTTCTAAATTCCTGTAAGAACTAGCACAGTTTATTTTTTCTGCTTTCTCTGCTTATATAAAAGGTGTCCCTGGATACTTAACAACTCAATAGAAGAAAAAACCCTGCCTAATCCCCAGGAAGATACACACATATTCTGACACCAAAACAAGCAGCCACTCAGTAATCCCAACCCCCCCAACCCCCGCAATCCCCCCTTCC